GAAGGTGGAGCTTGCTGGGAGAGGATGCAAACTTTACCCCAAGGGACTCTGACCTGGGCAAGGCACCGAGGTCTGCTTGGGCATTTACAGCTTTAATGATGAAGCATTCGATCTGTTACCTGTAGCATTTCCTTGAAGGGACAGTGCCCTTCCTGAGGAACATATGCCATTTTCTCTTTAAAAGTTATGAGCAAAGCCAGGTGTGGTGGTGCACGCCTGTAGTCCCAGCACTTGGGAGGCAGAGGCAGGTGGATCTCTGTGAGTTCAAGACCTGGGGCTACAGGGAGACCCTGTTTCAAAAAGGCCAAAAGAAAAAAAAAGTTATGAGCAAAGTGCTTGCTTGTGAAGGTTAGTTAAGCAGCGAGTGAGTGAAGGAAGAAGGATACACTGGCTGATGCATCTGCTGCTCATTGGGCAGCTGCCCACTTCCTCCCCTGCTAGCCACCTGGGTGTGGTCATGTGACTAACTCTGCCCAATGGGATATGAATAGAAATGACACTTTTGGGCCAAAGCATTTAAGGCCCAGGGCATGAACCTCTTGCTCATTCTTTACTCCTGCCAGGGCCGCCTGGGTGCCATGGGGGTGGCAGGGCTACAAGTGGAATCCAGCTGGACCCTTGAGTCCATAAGGAAGCTACCTGGGGGACATCTGGACCCCACGAACAATTTCAGGAGGCTCTCTGTGTGTGAAGTCTCAGAGATTTGGGGGCATGTTTAATACTGTGTTGTGGACTATAGAATACTAGCACAGGAGAAGATAAAAAATATCTTCAAGATAGATGCCCGAAATCACACCAAAAAGAGCACAGCTGAAAAAGAGCTCTCCTGAAGTGGTAGGAGAAGGCCTTAGCTGGGAGGTGGGAGAGGCAGGGGGCTGGCTACCTGGATATCAGGACAGACAAAACTCCCACCTCTTAGAGCCTCCACATAGCCACAGCTATGCCTCTAGAAAGCCATTCTTCAATAGTGTTCCCACAAGGACTGGGGCTGGCTTATGAAGGTGAAGGGTACATGGCCACAGTCCTCAGATGACCTAGTCTAGGGAGGGAGTCTGACATGTAAATGAGCAGGAACACTGTGACAGGAGCATTACACAGGGCTGGGAGCAGGGCTGGGGCCTGGGCAGATGGACAGTCAGACTTGCCCTGTATATGTGAGAGGGTGTCACAGGGGAGGTGACCTCCAGGAAAAAGGGCCCATTAGGCAGGGCAGGGATGAGCTGGATGCCAGGCAGAAAGAATGAAAGAAGAGGACATATAGGGACAGGGCCCAACTTCACTGCATGTTGGGTAGACAGAGGCCAGGCAGGTGAGCTGGGTCAAGGGACTAGCGACAATGGGCTGGACTTCTATGGGGAGGGGAGGTCTTGGGGACTACAGCTAGAAAGACCTTAATGTCTTTCTTCTCTTGAGGAGAGAGAATGGAGGGCAGGTGGGCAATGAGCTCAAGCTGACCCCCTCCACTCCCTTCTTGGCTCGAGATGGGAAAGAAGGGGGCTAGTGGATTTCTATCTGGGATTTCACCTGTCTCTGAACAGACTCAGGGCTCCTAAGGGAAGCTTGGGGTCCCTAGGTTGGGGAGAGTGTTCCTTCTCATTCAGTGGTTTTCACTTGGGTACACAGTGCCTCCTAGGTGAATTTGGAAAGGAGAGTGTTTAGTGGTCACTACTCCATCCTCTTATGACATGGTCACTGGCACTCAATGACTCTAGGAACTTCAAATATCCGGCACTGTATTGAATGGTTCCATACCATGTAGCTTTGTACCACCCCAGTGCCATGGGTAGAGTGGTTGACACTCAGGAGCCCTGCCAGACAACAGGCGTACACACCTGCAGCTGCGAGGGGCTTTGAGTGAAGCAACACAGAGCTCTCAGGAAGGTAATCCTTATACCTCCACCCATGCTTCTCTGGGACCTGGAATTCTTGTGCCAGGGACCTGTGTCAGCCTCATCCTAAGGGGAACCCATGTGAAATGCAAATGCCCTAGGCAGTGGCCAAGCCACAATCAGCTGGAACCTGAGGTTTCCAACTCCTGCTGCAAATGGGAATTCCCTGCAATGTTTAGAAAGTATGGCTTCCTCCCTATGATCCTGCAGCCCTCATGTTTCTGGTGTCCCATATTCACACCTCCAGGCAGGCCTTCCCATGGTGCACTAGGGTTGGTTTGTGTAACAGCATGTGCGGTAGGGTAGAGTGATACTGCCCTTCTGAAATTAGGCTCTGAAGGGCTGAGCCCTGCTCTCTCACTCTGCCTTCCTCTCGCTTTACTTGCCTTTTGTTTTGTTTTTTAATTAATTAATAATTTTTTGTGTGAATGTATGTGCATAATGTGAGGGGGGGGTCAGTGTATACACCACAGCACACATGTGGAGGTCAGAGGACAACTTTGTGGAATCTGTTCTCTCTTTCTAATACATGGGTTTCTAGAGATTGAACTGAGGTCATCGGGCTTACGCAGCATCTTTTCTTGCTGGGCCATCTTGCCAGCCTTCTTCTTACTTGCTTTGAGTCTGCAGTGTTGTGAACGATGACCCATAAGCCAGTTGTGGTGCTAAATACCTGTAATCCTGGCACTCAGGAGGCTAAGGCAGAAGGATTACCACAGGTTTAAAGTCAACCTGGGCTATACAGCAAGCCTCTGCTTTAAAAAAAAAAAAAAAAAAAAAGGCTGATAATTAAGAGGAAAAAAAATTCAATAGCAGAAACAGACTAAAATGCCAACAGTGATAGAATTAGTAGGGAAGGACAGCAAAGCATCTGTTAGAAATAGTATCACATGCTCAGGAAGATAGGAAAATATAGGAAACAGAAGGCAGAAGAGAAAGACTTCTAGAAATGAAAAATATAGTATCTGAAATGAAAGAGATAGTAAATCAGCAGTCACTTGGACACTACAAGAAAAGATGTGTGAACTTGATAAAATAGAAGCTACCACAAGTGAAAAGAAGAGGGGGAAAAAGACTTTAAAAATGGAGGTGAGCCTGATTGCTAAACACAGTCACAACTGGGCTTGTTGACGGTTGTGCTCATTCATTAAAGGAGTGCCAAGCAGGGTCATTGGACCCTCACCTGAGTATCCAGCCACTCTTCCCAGCCATCTAGTCCAGCCTTGGAAGACAAAAGAAAAATGAGGAAGAAC